GGAGCCAAAGGGCAAATGGTGGAGGATATTTTCCACGTTCATTTTCCTTCCTTTAACTCTCTTCCCAGAAAAAAAGGGGTGTAACCCATGAAAATCAGTTATTGACAGCTCTAGCAATCATCAGAAACTTACATGCTTCTCTTCCTGCTCATTCTGAGACTGAAGATCGCGCTGAGTCTTCTCAGCCAAAGCCTTAGCCTGATCACATAAAGCAGAAGAATCAGATACCGTAAAACTCGCCCAATGAGACACATATTTAGCTCGCAGGGGAAAAAATCTTCAATGCAACTTCACCAAAATAACACCTTGGAGTAGCATTCCAGTTATTTAACATATGCACCCACGCACAAGCATTCGGTCGTGCAAATAACAACCAGACTAGAAGGCAGGCTTGTCATAAACTAAACTTTAGGATTTGGGAAATGAGTAAAATTAGGTTACAGACTTACGGGTGCTAAGAAATGGCGAAATTTGTGTTCAATTCCTAAAACATAGAGTTGTTCAAAATGTAGCATCAGATATTGAGAAGACTTTGTACTGACAAACTCCACTTGATTTTTCACATTGATTTTTTTTTACTTGTCTATTTCCGGTGATTTTCTATTATCCTTAATTCAAACTGTTTATATATTGTCTCTTCTCGTTTTCTTGAGCCGAGGGTCTTTCGGAAACAGCCTCTTTACTCTTTCGGAAACACCGGGAAACAATCTCCAGAATTTATCTCGTTCTACCAGAGAGTTGTTTGCATTTTTTTAAGAATGATTATTTGTAAACTACACATTATACTTTGAAACTTCTCTTGATTTGCCAACCAACTTAAAAGAAATGGTTTAACTCTTTTGTACTCTACAGTTCCAAGGGAGGACACAATCACTAGGGCATCAAGTAGTCAATGTGTAGTACTTGATAAAAGCTGCTATATCTCTATCTTTATATCAAACTACAGGTAGACCCATGAGTTAGAGAGACATATAAACCTCAGCATCTAGTAGGAGAAGTTAAGGAAATACCACATCACAAGCCAAACTTATCACCCAGAACAGCCTTTTCTAGTTCACTTGAAGAAAAGATCTCATATTAACGAGAAGCACAAGCAAACCTTTGACCAACTCGTATACAGATCTTCCTCTTCCCAATATAGCTGAATTTCTCAAGCAGCCACACATCAACCAACTTAAAAACCATTCTCTCTCCACAGAATCAGGGATGATTTAATGGATCCAACAATAAGAAGATTATTTCATGCTGTGAGGATATGTTAGCACAATACTCATCCAACAATAAGAAATTATTGCGGGTAATGAGGATAAGATAGCACAATACTCAACTGAAGGGACAGTTACAAGATTCTTAAGTAGAAATTTTACCATGCGCTCTTGGGTCTTCATATGATGCTTCAATCTAGCTCTTCGTCTTTCTTCACTTTCTCCTTCAACTTCCTGAAATACCTCAGAGGAAGGAGCAGAGTCTGCATGTGCACAAAGACTAATAAATAAGAACGGGAATAATATAATTTATTAGAACGAAAACGAATGAAATATTCTGGTATTAATAAATTCTAACGCATTAATTCCTCAACAAAATTTAGTATCTTCTTTTGCAGAAATGATCACCTCCAAAAAACATTAAATCATCAACAAAGTTTTTCACAGGCGACACATTCTTCCTTATGGATGATGATTTCTTTTCTTCAGGCTTTCCTTTCTCATGGAAATCTGCAGACACGTGGCCCTGAAAGAAGGGGGAAGGAGAGAAACATGACACAAGAAGAAATCAAAAGGGTTAGTCAATCAGTACCCATAAGATCTTGGAATCCAACAGTCTTAACCAATACCTTAGCTGCAGATTTTGGTGTTGTTGTCTTGCTCGGTTTGTTGATCGTCACTCTTACATTTTTGGACTTCTCTTGTGCTCTGTCCACGGGCTTCTTTACATACGTGTCCCTTTTAGTATCATGTGATCGTTCAGTTATATTACTCCTAACCTTAAAATTCGCAAAATCTTCAAGTTCGTCAATTGAAGAAGTTACAGTGCTAATTCCAGGATGATGTTCTGATGATTCTGAAAATGGCCAAGTAGCAGCATTTGCCTCCCTGGTGGATGATTCAAAAACTAAAAATGGATCATCTGGCGAAGAGGAGCTTGATTTAGAAGAATTCGACTGCTGAGAACCTTTGGTCTCTAGCTTTTTGCTGTACATACAGAAACATACAGACTTTTAAACAATGCTTTTGGGGATGAACAGCGTGATACAATTATGGGAAAAAAACAATGAGGTGCAAATCAATAGGAATTGCATTTGGCACTTTCCAAAAAATGCATGGGTATCAAATAGCATTCACACTAGGCATGACATACCTAGTGCCAAAAAGACCTAAATGATGTGGCAGAAGTTAGTTGACTCCCATGATTTTGCACGACATCCTCTTATTATAAGTTTGAGTTACACATCCATACAACTTTGTGCATAATCGAAATTTTACATGGCAGTGTTAGTTATCGTAGAAGGGGAGCCTTGGCGTAACTAGTAAAGTTGCTTCCATGTGACGAGGAGGTCACGGGTTCGAGCCGTGGAAACAACCTCTTGCAAAAATGTAGGGTAAGACTGCGTACAATAGACCTTTGTGGTTCGGCCTTTCCCGGACCCCACATAGCGGGAGCTTAGTGCACCGGGCTGCCCTTTTAATGTTAGTTATATCGTAAGATAATCATTGCCTTGCAAAGATGGTAAGGTCCTAACATGGAGCACTTGGGTGTTAATAAGGTTAAACTTTGCCTCAAAACAGATGGTATGGCCTGAAGCAGCTCCAAGATCAAGATACCAAGATACTACTGAGATAAATTTTTCCTATGATTTTATGGGCACACGGTAGTCTATCGAACACTTGAAAAGTATTCGCTGACAAAAAGATAGTAAAAAGGGTATCTATGTAAATTAGTTCATAGACACTGTGAGTCTCTCTCTCTCTCTGTCTCTTTACGACCTCTGATTTTCTCACATCTCAACATTCAATTTGCTATACCAAATACATTTTCAATGTTATATTGAGCTCTCAGCTCATAATAAAAATCCATATAATGACTTCTAGCATAGGATTCAGTTAACAAATGCTTTAGCCTTTAAGTAATGAAGCAAAAACAACCTTTTTGCTTTCCATTTCAACTCCCAAAAAAAAGGGCAGTCCGGTGCTCAAGTCATCCCGCGTTCACGCATGGCCAGGGGAAGGGCTGCACCATAAGGAGTATGAAGTAGACAGCTTATGGCTGCTTCCATTTCAGCTCACAGCTCTCAAAATTAACAAGGACTTAAGTTATATGCACAGACAAAGGAATTCGTCACACATCAGTAAAATCTACTTCAATTAATGCTATTCATCAGAGTTACCTGCATTTACTTTTAAAAGGACCAGATTGTATAAAGAAATTTACACAATCAGTGCACAGAACTTAAACTCAATTAATAATACACCAACATAACAAATTCCTAGTCAGCTGGAATTGTCTTAAGTCTAAAACATAAATAGAAGGGGAAAAAGTTGAAAAATTAAACCGTACACAATTGAACTAAATACATACCCATAACTGGGGGAGCTAAAATCACCAAATCCAGGAATCAAATCATCACTTTCTGACCTTTTTCCAGCATGATCTTTCTTCGGACCATCCGATTTCAATCCCAAATTCCCAAATAAATCATCAATTGAGTCACTCCTCTTTGGTGCCGTACCAAACAAATCAAAATCATCATACGAATTATTACCACCATAGTTATTGTTATTATTACTATTAGAACCGCCTAACACTGATTCAATATCAACATTATTCTGCTGCTTTGAATTAGCAAAAACGCCACCGAAAATATCATTATTGTCGTAATTCTGTGAACTCTTGGACCGGAAAATTCCATCGAGATCATTCGGAAATGATCCGTCAAATGGATCGGAGCTGTAACCCGAGTTTTGACCCGAATTAAACCCAAGGTTTGAGGGAAAGCCATTGGTGAAATTGGTCTTATTAGCCTTCAAATTGGCCATCGGTGTTGACTTGCCGCCTTGAACTTTAACGCCATATCTCTCAACCAAAACGCCAAATTCATCCATATTTTTTTTGTCAAAACTGAAACTGAAGAAAATTACAAAGAATTGGTAGTAATTCTTACAAGTGACTAATATTAATATATCTAACAAGGATAAAGGAAACGCAATATGGGTTAAGTATGTATATCAGTATGTTACAAAAAAAAGGAAGGTGCAGAGTAATGAGCTGAAAATTGATGATGAAGAAGAAAGGAAGAAAATAAAGTAAGAGGAGAAGAGAAGGGTGCTTCTTCTTCAATAAAACAAAATAATAGAGCGTCGGTTGGTGGGGTACGTACGCGTATTTGTGCAAGTATGAGATGTCAAATCGTTGGCATCCGGGCAGGTTGGGTAAAAGGATTTGGTCCTTGCCAAAATACAACAACAATAGATTTAATAGAAGTGAAGGGTGCGTACCATTAGGGCAGCCCACCTTATCAAAATAATTTACACATATATTCATTATTAATTTAAATATAAAGAAAAAATTTAAATTTATGATTTTAAATATATTATGATAATTTTATGACTATGCAACTTCAATTATAGCTATTAAAATGTACAAATATATGCAAAATTTTTCATAAATGATGTCGTATTTTCATGAATTTAAAAAGTATATAAATAATATTTAATATCATTTTCCCACAAACTAAAGATTTTTGGCCCAATAATTTAGTTGAATATTATTACAAATAAAGGTGTAGGTTCAGTTCTCCTTAACCTTAAATTTTTAACAAAAAATGCTTGTACTACTTTTACAAGGCAAAATATAAGCTTGACCGGTGGACCATGAAGTACTCTCTAAAAAAACGTGATTATTATATATTCTTTATTTTTATAGACATAATAAATTTTTTGGCCGAAGCGGTGTCGGATGATATCGCTTCCTCCCATATGCGTCCGCCCCCAAGTATATAATTTTAATAGGGGTCATTTGATTACGAGGTGAGATAGATAAGAATATCGCATAGGTTGAAATATCCCATGGACTACCTTACCCACCCCCAACAAGAGTGAGTTGCTCTAGTGGTAAGCACCCTCCACTTTCAACTAAGAGGTTGTGAGTTCGAGTTACCCCAAGAGCAAGGTGGGGAGTTCTTGGAGGGAGGGAGCCGAGGGTCTATCGGAAACAGCCTCTCTAACTCAGGGTAGGGGTAAGGTCTGCGTACATACTACCCTCCACAGATTCCACTAGTGGATTATACTGGGTTATTATTGTTGTACTTAACCCACCCCCATTATTTTCATATAAAATTTATTTCATTACTAGTTAATGCCAAAAACCAAACATGAAAAAAAATACACACTTATATCCCAACTCGAGATTAGTATAGCATGCTGAAAAGTATTTTATTCCTTCGTGGCTAGAAGTCAGGTTATGCGGTTTGCCTTTGCCGTCCAAAGCGCGAGTACTACAATACTATTCTATTAATATTAATAGAGAATTCATGTATTGAAAAAGTTCTTGTAAAACGAATAGAAGAAATAAATATTTACAGGATCATAAGATAAACATATACAACAATAATAATATACCAATGTATTCTCATATGATGAGGTTTTGAGAGGATAAAGTGTACGTAAACCTTATTCCTATCTTGTAGATGATAAGATAAACAAATACTTTTGGTATTTAGATAGTAAGAAAAAACTATAAACACAAGTTTATTGTTATGAGCAATTGGAGTTTTTTTTTTTAAAAAAGTTAATCATAAATTTTGATATGTGTTTACCCGTAAAACGGTATAGTTGAATTTATACGCGGTTTCTAGACAAGTGAACTAATTTGATCCTGAAATAATATAATAATTGAAGAAATATATAATACTTAGCCTTGAAATATGGATGAAACGGTAGAGATGACAATTTCAGGAATAATATTTCCAGGCACAGCAATGATAAGATCAAAAAGTAAGAAGTAAAATTGTATAAAGCTTTGTATAGAATAAAATGTAAGTTTTGCCAGAAAACTCGTGTCCTCCACAATGATAACTGGGCTCAATATTTATATCTATCTCTAGGGAAGGAAGTCCTAGGATCATGTTCTCCTTAAATGTCAATTATGAGGGTCATTGATGAATACGTAATGGCGAACATAAATGTCAAATTCTTCTGTAACGGACGGTCGCTCTTAATGCTGAAGAATATTCCCTATTAAATATTACCGGGCGCAGAGCATTTAACACGCCTTTATGAACGTTATCATTTCTGGTGACAAGCAAAATGCTTGTGTTCCGTCTTCGGCCATCCCTGTCTTGGGCTCCATGTGTCCTCCTTTTAAATGACCACGTATTATATCATATTTTACCCTATACAGATAGTCCCCCTGCTTTCTGGTGACATAATTTTGTATTATCGGAAAGTTGGAAGAAATACCTTTTTGGCGGGAATTACTACAACTCCCTCTGAAAGTCCCTGGCAGTTGATTAGACGCACGTCTCTTCACATTTAATGACCCGAACACGCATCATCCCATGATTCAGCACAGCTTTTGTCGATTATCGAGGTAATCATGGCCATGAATTCAGCCGCCAAAGTTTTACTTATTCACCACATTCTTTTCCTTTTCGTTTCATAATTTCTCGAACTCTTGATTTGCATCCTTGCTTTCTACTCTTCCTCTAGCTTTCTTCAAATACAAAACTTTTTCCATCTTCTTTTTCAATGGCTTCCTCCTCTAAGCGTGCTGGTTCCATAAAGAACAAAAATAAAACCGAAGACTGTGTTCCTCCAACGGTGGGTTTCATTCATCCTGTCGCTGTGAAGGAGGACTATCGCTGCCATGAGTTAGATATTATTACTCCTGATCTATCGGAGCATGTGACCCTTCCCAAGGAAGGTTTTACATACTTTTTCATGTATCCCTTTATGTTGGGTGCATTTTCTTTAAGCGGAGAGCTTGATTCCATGATTGCGGTCCTTTGCCTTCATTACCAGGTGTGTTTGGCACAGGTAAGTCCTTCAGTATGGAGGACGATCGCCTTCCTTCAACGTTTGTGCCAAGAAACTGGAGAGGAGCTAACCTTAGCTCATATGATGAATCTCTATTCCCCAAAATCTTCCGCGGGAGAATGATAAACCTTTGCAAGCATGGCCACCATGCTTTACTGTCTAGCATGGATGATGACAACGACCGTGGGTGGATGGAATGGTTCATTGCAGTTGCCACCAACGATATCATTCCGACAACGGCTTCATCCTTTTTGCTTGCTTGGAACCGCACTCGTAAGTTCTTCGTATAGTATTACCTTTTGCTAGATATTCTTTTATAGCCGTATCAACACTTCACCCTTCGCATGTTTCAGCAACTCGATGGATCCCACCGGTGGTAGCGAGTTTGGACCGGTGGATTCAAAAGATTTTGGACGTCACAACGCCCGAAACTAGTTTATGGAAAGAACTGACCCTTAAATACGGGTGGAAGGCCAAAAATCATGGTAATTTTAATTTACCTCGCTTCTATTATGAAGAACTTGGTTGAACCCTTCTGACTTATTCATGCAATTAGGTCTACCTGCGGGCTCTGTTGTTATATCCGAGGAGGACATTTTGGATGATCTCGCTGATGCAGCGAGGCTGCTTCAGGAAGCACTTACTCGAACAGGTATCTCCGGACTTGCTTCGGGTGCAAACTCTTCTTTATGGAGTCCCTGGCCAGAGGATAAACAACCAAAGAGAAGACGTTCCTCCACGGCCGGGGAAAAGAATAAGAGGGCAAAAACTGATGCCCCCGAGTCATCTCCGGTGGCGATGACTACTGGTCCTCCTTTCGGGCCGGTTATAGACACTGTGATGATTGATGATGATGAAGAATTTGTTGATGAGGGAGCTTCTTTACATAGAAGGCGACAATCCTCATCATCTCAATAGGATGCTCGACCTGTTGAGATAGTTACACCAACTGAAGACGATGTCTCGGCACTTTGGGGAGAATCTGATTTGGTAGAATATGCCAACTCCCATTTTCGGACCCCAATTGTTGTAACCGGTGTTGCGGGGCAGAGTACCGAATCTTTGACATCTTTGGTTGGCGAGCATCCAACAACCGGTACTGCATTTGATGCAACTACCTCTCGTTCTTCAACTCCGTCAGTATCATCTCTACCTTTACCAACAGCAGCAACTGCTACATTATTTCCATTTTCATCCACTCTTCCACCGGCATTTGCTACATCACCTCCGTTGGCCGCACCTGACCATGAAGAAGGCATTCCTCTTCCACAACCTATTCAGGGGAATTTGGGGCAAAATTATGTTGCCCCTTCTGAAGATCCATAAAGGAGGAGGAATGTTACTATTTCGGTCTCTACCGGATGCAACTTGCTATCCCCGCCGGTGGAGCTTGCTAACTATCTGAAGCCTTTGGCTTTCGAAAAAGACTAGGAAAAGATTTAGGCACTCTCGGGAGAGTGCTTGTTGAACAATGCCATACACAACGCCGCAATGGTAAGTTATTTTCTCCCTTCATTACTTCTTCTACTTTTGTATGGATGTATTCCAAGTTTTACTTCTTCTTTTCTTGTAGGCCAACTTTCTTTCTTCTAAGAGCCTTCAAAGGTTGATTCATGAAAAGGAAAAACTTACTTCCGAACCAAATCAGCTTTTGGTGGAACGAGATCAAACTATTCTCCGCCTCTCAGAACTGGAAACCAAAGCTAATGAGGTCGTTGTTTTGGAGGCTTGTTTGTAGCAAAGCGAGCAAGAAATGGTAACCCTTAGCCAAGAAGTTGGGCCGCTAAGGGTTAGATTTGAGGAAGCCAAGGCCAAATGGGCTAAAGTCCAGGATGTCGTTCTTGTTGCAATCGAGTGCGAGGATGCTGCTGCCGAAAGAGTAACCAACTTAGAAGCAGCCTTGAACTCCAAAATCGAAGAGCTTGCTACTGTGGGGGCGAAACATGCCCAACTAGAAGAGAAGTACAGGAAGGCTATCGAGCATAACAGGCTCTTTAGTTCAATTGTTCGCGATCTGGACGTCAGCCTCAAGTCTGCTAGATCCTCCCGGGAAAGCCTTTCTGCCGAGGTTTCCCAACTCAAAGAAGAACTTATAGCGACTTCCTTCGTTGTTGAAAAAACTTATTCCATGTACAGCATGAGGAAAAAAACCTTGGAAGAGGCCAAAGCTGGTGTCATTGATATTGATTCCAAAATTGCTAGGGCTCGAGAGCTTGAGTTGCTGCAAAAAATGGACTTCCAGTGTAGTCTGATGCTCCAGATTCTTCCGATTCTGGTTTCGAGTTTTCAGAAACTGAAGAGGGATCAGAAGGTGACGA